ATTCTAAGAGAAGTACCAATAATAAAGGCCTAGGAAGAGCTTAAAAATTCAGACGCCCCGATAGCCCAAGTACTGTTCGTGACATCTGAAATGTTATTCAGTAAGGCTCAATAGGTTTTAAAAGTCAAGAGGCCTGTGTGGCTCAAGGCGTACCTACGGTGAGGAGAAACACATTACTTCTTGCGTTGTCGGGAGCCTTACGTAGCCAAATAGGACAGACTCAAAATCCTTGGGAAAAATGGGAAATGGCAGTCATATTACGGACCGTTGGACAAAGAAAACGGGAACATCCTGAAAGGTCCATCAAATGGTATCATTTAGCAGCCATATTCAAGGAGGAGTGACGGCCAATTCAACTCGGAACATAGAAAATTACAACCTCCCTAGAAAATTACGGGGAGATAGACATAAACACGTACAGCATTGTCACCATGATGACGGGATGCTGTTTCACTTATCTAACTGCCACCAATATAATTTAGCTGGTCGATTAAAGAAAAAGATAGTAGGCTGGCTACCAATCATGATGGTATGGACAGTTAAAGGATGCAGTGGGATTTGCAGTAGCCGGTTGTGTGAATGAAGATATAGCGCATGAACAAACCCTTACCAACAGTAGAATGATTACCATCCGACTTTGGCTGTCTACAGATCTTTTTGTCACACTCTTCGGTGTGTAAACTCTCACGATTTATCGTACGGATGGTGAGCGTGTAGAATTACATCACGACTTATCTGGTGTCATCACACCCGTTAGGTTGACCGATCGTCTGTTTTTCAAGTGTCACTTTAACCCTCGAATCGGCCACACCGGGCAGATATGGAAAGTGTTAAACGAGACCAAGGTCAAGAACGTCAGTTGTAGACGTTTACCTAGGATGTAGCCCTCTATGGAACTTGCCATCACTAATGAATGATTCAGTGCCACAAAATCGCCAATGGCGACTCTCAGGTTTCCAAGAAGTAAACAAACAGACGATAGGCATCCTACAACGAAATTGTGTTAAAGTTCTCACAGCAAAAATAATGCAGGGTGTCGATTACAACGTGGATTATGCAATGGTGATTGACTCCGAAGAATCCTCCCCGTATTGTGAAGAAGATGTTTTGAAGCAGACTGAAAACCAAGCACGCAGTAGGTTAGTGGAATTGCGAGATTTTTGAGGAACTACTGCTCTCAGGTTGTCCAGAACAACTCCAGTACAGGCATCGGAAGAACGGTGGGAGAAAAATCACGACCATCCAAAGTATGCTGTCGTTGTACTAAATAACATTCTCTAAGCCATTCGAACGACAATCGCCAAGACCGAGAAAAGTGTTCTTGGGAGTTCTGATCCTCATTCATTTCGTTTATTCATCAAACGAACAAGGTTAGTGTTAGAACCAAAAGCAAAGTATATGGCCTCTTTGAAACTTTTGACCTTTTGACCTCTTATTCGTCTACAAAAACAAATTGAATGTGGTAACAGCAACACCGGGCAGAGGACGAAACCAGACAGAATGTGAGAGATGATGGGAATGTGGCTCAAATCCTACAAAGAATAAACAATGTGCACACGTATATAGAACAGACGAGAAGTGGAAAACGCCTAGGGTAAAAGCCAATGGTCAAAACAAGCGAAACCAGCGTTGATAAGTTTATTGGAGATCAAATAATTCATGCTTGGCGAATATTCTGATAGAATTCCATATCGTCCACGCCAAAATTCGCTCAATAGTGAGGGATCGGAGACCTCATGCGATACATTCATGAAGGACAGGATCGCTTGCATATGCTCTCGTCGAAAGCAGATCCCGAAATATGACCAGGCCTATTCATGATCTCGATGTGACGATGGAGATATAACCATTTTTCCCTAAAGCACACCTTGTTTGTAGTTGCAATTTTATACCGGATGATCATAAATCCCGACCCTTTAGTTGAAATCGATAGAATCTGGAAGTAATTCTGCAAAATTACCAGGCAACAAGAAATCCAGCTTTTTCGAGTTAGACATTAGTGCATTGAGACCATCACAATATTCTATTCAAATCCCCAGGTTATGTGCTTCTTGGTCAGGATTGTTAATTTCAGAACATGATCGCAGTTTATCCAATGTTCACTCTACGATTCCATGCAATTTCGGTACAGTGTGTCATGGTAATCACTTTAGATTTGAGATATGCATCAATTGAACTGGTTGGATCGATTAGAGAGTTATGGATAACTGTGGTTGATTTTCATTTTTTTTTTGAAGTAATCTCATACAGACTGAGCACCATTCGACGTTTTTCAAGGAAGGTTATAGCGACGCGCGCCATACTCTAGTTTTGCCAAATAAATGTCCAGCAATCTCGTCTCCAATGCAAGAAGCGTTTGATTATTGCTCACTAGTCTTGTTAATCCCAGACTTAATCGATAAGTTACAGCTAATTGGCGCTTGGCGCATAGGTTTTACACCCTGGGTTGTACGCCTGGGGTTTCACTTCCCCAGTTAGGGACAATAACCGTCAGTCTGTTGGCTAACCATGTGTGTGTTTTGACCGTCTATTCAATTTGATTCAGTAAAATACCTTGATTTTCATTTTTTTTGAAGTAATCTCATACAGACTGAGCACCATTCGACGTTTTTCAAGGAAGGTTATAGCGACGCGCGCCATACTCTAGTTTTGCCAAATAAATGTCCAGCAATCTCGTCTCCAATGCAAGAAGCGTTTGATTATTGCTCACTAGTCTTGTTAATCCCAGACTTAATCGATAAGTTACAGCTAATTGGCGCTTGGCGCATAGGTTTTACACCCTGGGTTGTACGCCTGGGGTTTCACTTCCCCAGTTAGGGACAATAACCGTCAGTCTGTTGGCTAACCATGTGTGTGTTTTGACCGTCTATTCAATTTGATTCCGATCAGTAAAATACCCGAGGTAAATGTATTCAACTGAGTACAGTTGAAAAGCCAAAAAATATGTACAGACCTTATCACGGCAAAATTACGTGTCCCAAGTATAAGGGTGTCCCGAAACTTAAAGAAAAATAGGATACCTCTTGCGAAAGTTCGCACACTATGGGACAGTCACACATACCTCCAGTGGTTTGCAAAACAGTTAACGTATTTATTTACGTATTTAGTTAGTTGTTTAACACTATATTGTCGTAACAATATGCAGATTCGCCACGTCGGTTTTTTCCACTAGTCTCGACATTCCAACTGCAAACCTGGAATGACGGAAACGAAGAAATTTTAGCACACATGGATTATCGATTTGGTCATGTGCTCTGCTGTCTGTACTGTTATCCCAGGAAGTGGAAAACTGACCGATTCATTGGCGACGAATTCCCTCAGCCCTATATAACCACAACAAACACGTCTCAAAAAACCTTCGAATTTTTGAGAGCGATGAACTGAGCAGTCAGGCATCTCGTTTTACTCAGAATCCGTGTTCACGTTACTTCCTTTCGAACAGCCCTCTCCTACTCCTGACACATTCATCCCGGTTAAACTATACAGAAAGTGGACAAGAGGTGTCATCGAGTTTTGCTCGTATTAGAACCCACATTGCTTGAATGCGTTGTTGATAACCCCTGTGAGTCAAAGACAATCAGCGGTTGTATTTCCTGTTTTTTTCTGACTGCTCATAAGTAGCGTAATTGACATCTGTCTATTATAATACCGTTTTGCTTCCTTGCTGCTGGTTCCTCGGGTTATGCTCCAGCTTAAGGTCGGCAGAAGCTCTGGTAACCAGTGTCAAAGCTTTGTTGCCTATCCGTCTCCGATTGCAGTTTCTTGTCAGCTCAACGTATTTTTGAGTATCTGCTCCGAGGATCGAACCTGCAGCCACCTCTCCCACCCTCAAAGACAGGCAAGTGAGCTGTCCACCACGTCAGCTTGCCTCAACAGGCAGCTCTATTTCTCTATTGTGTTCGTATTACATCCCACCTGACTGTTCGTTGAGATTTTGTTTTAAACGGGTCTGATTTGACAACCAACACGTGCTGTTTCGTCCCGCTGTCAGCGAAAGACTGTCGAATTCACCCGATAACCGTTTTCCAAACAGTTTCTTTAGTCTCCAGAACGTACTGACTGTTTTTTTGCATCTATATATATGCATACGACCTGTTTACACCATTTGACTGCATGTATCCATACCTTTGTATAACATTCGGTACATACTCGTCGTGCTGTCCTGCTGCCCCACCGTCTTCTTTTCTACTCCTACTGATTGCGCTTATGTCGAATGTACTTTCTGTTTGGTTCAGGATGTTTATAATTTCCTAAAACAGCATCGACTGCCCTCATCCATTCGTTCCTACTGTGTACTCAACAAACACTGCGTATGGTCCGATAGAGTCTTGTCACCTCCTTAGCTGTCCGGAATCTCCACTTGTACACATCCGTCCAAGCTGCGTGGGTAGAGCAGTGATAATGCGCCCAATTTGAATCTTAGACGTATATGGCTTAATTCTGGGTATGATCAAGGATACACACTAGTGCTGAGCTCGGATAAGCCCGAAATTCGATTCAATTCGGTCCAGTGGACTAATCGCAATAACCGTTCTGTATAGAATTAGAACTTTCCGAGTAAGATTGATTTAAATACACATATTTCATGCCTTACTTTTAATTGAAACATCTCTTTCTGATTTTCCGCATGAACACCATGCATATAACTCATATAACCACTAGGCGAAATTCAGTGGCAGGTAATGTCAGTCTGCGGCGAAAATTCGAGAAGCACTGTACAGCTATTTCGTCAGTATTGGGAATCATCGGCCTAGGCTCCAACCACTAGGTTGCCAGTCCGGAACTTCCTAGCGATTCGTGAGACACACTGCTGGTGGTTCCCAATAAGGATAAAACGGCTATGTACTGCTTCTCGTCTTTCCAGCAAAGACTCGCAGAACGGTCTTCTTTGGAGTTTCAAAATCCTTTCATACTACCAATGAACCAGGAGTACCTCAGAACGAAGAATAAATAGCCAAAAGAGTGACCCCCCAAATCCGGGAAGTCGCCACTCGGGGAGTAAGTCCACATGACCATTGGACGTGGATCCCGTGAGTGGATGTTGAATGGCGCTATTTACCGCCTAAGTGCCAGAGAATGACACCGCAGATCACCGAATGTTTCGTTCTTCGATACTAACCAGGAGATTGAGATCATCATCGAGATTCGTGAAGCTTACCGACGATGATTCTCAGTAACGGTAAAACAGCTCTACAGCGCTTCGCGGTTTTTCGGCATAGATTAAATTCATTTACAGGACGGAGTCCCTACTGAAGTTCAAAATCCCTTCACGGCGCCCACATAGTGTAACAACTTTTTAGATGACGCTCGATTGCATACATGCGTAGAACTACATAAAGTCAGGTTCTAAACATACCAGAATGCATTGTTTCACGCCAGTTTCCTGGAAGCTTGGATGGTATCGTCAGTTCGGGAATAAACGGCTTTTTCGACAACACTGCTGTGATTCAGTAAGGCACTGACTCACTTGAGAGAATAATGCCTGTTGACTATTCTCTTCAGCGGATGAAGATCCAGAGGCCAATTTTTGTCGACATTTATCATCATGCGTTACTAACTTCTAGTACAGTCCTCTTTCACAATCTGCGAATCAGAGACAGCCTCACTTGACGATGGCTTGTGGGTTGTTGTCTCAGAGATTATGTCTGTGATGTTTATTTTCTAGTGATGGAAAACATTCCGGTTCTCTCTGAATTCCAAAGCTAAAGTTGTTTATTATCATTGATTTTTTCGCGTAGTTCTTTCATCCTTCAGCATTTGATCGATGAGAAAGCACTTTCTTACACGTATTTTACAGTAGCAGTGTCTGGAAGATATCCATAAGAAGGCGTCTGAGGCTAAATGTACCTAAATATGAACAATAGGAATGCTTTTACCCTTGATTGTATCGCAATTGTTTCAGGAACGAACTATTAGTATCAGGACGCACCCAGACACGGAAAAAGTACATGTGCAGAGGGGCGCATCCCCAAGGTCACCATCGGTACGACATGTTTGGAAAGCAGGTGCGTTGGCGGGGCTCACCAAACACGGCTTAGCAACATAAGACCAGTGGAATGGGGCTGAAATTGTTTACAACCAGAACACCACCATGGCTGTACAGGACGAACAAGTGAACGACCATGTTTGGTCATTTAGT